TTGAAAAATAATAGTATACAATTGTTTAGTCTTATACTCTTTTTATGTCTATGTCCATGACTATGATATTTGATATCAATTATCAAACAAAATACTTCAATGATTATAAACGTTAAGGATAAACAAAAATACTTCAGTAGCAATAACAAAATAAGACTACATCACAAAGTAGCAATAACAAAACTTTTGTTATAAAATACGCGGTCGGTCGACCATCGTATAGCGCCAGGATGTATATACGGGTGTTTATGCGGGGTATATACGGTGAATTTTTTTCAAAAAAATAATATAAGAATACAAAATATAATAAATAAAAAATTTATTGTCAAATATAATTCAATATTAATTTACTACATATAAAACCCACATTTATAATAAGATATAATACTATGTTTTCAGAAATAAGAATCATGAAAACAAACATATAAAAGATACCTTATGCAGAAGGCGCTAAACAAATTATAACAATCTTTTGAATTTTGAAACGACAATGTAATATAGTGAGAAGAAACAAGAGTATCTAATATCAAAAACTATTTATTTCGCCTACACTAAAGATATTGATATTAAATAATAATCTACACCAACTGATCATCTCACGTAGTACAGTAAGGTTAAACAAAACAAAACAAAAAGGTAGTAGAGAGTAAACAAGCATGAGTCCATGTGTCAGTTTTATCAAAAAATTATCAAGAAAACGCATAACTATTTTATACGGCCGAATAAACGTCCGTATTAATGCCGTATAGCCAGCCGTACAGTTAAATCCATATTTTTCTACCGTATAGCAAAAAAACAGTACAGTCGTTTACTGTATAGGGTATATACAGCATATATACGGCCGTAGGCCGTATTTAGAACATTGAACAAAACAAGATTTATGATTTGTTGAATACATACAATTTCTATAGGTTTGGTGATTTGATCCAACAATTAGAAGAACATATCTATAATTTGTTGAAATACATACCTCAAACCTTTGGTTTTGTAGAAGAGATTAGAAGAGACTCGAAGAAAAGTTAGAAAACAGTGGTAGAAATGTAAACGTTTCGTCTTCAGATTTTAAAACCTTTTTTATTGTTTTTTTCTAAAAATAATTAAAC